CAAGGAAAGGCCTTCTCCCAAGAAATACACCTGTGAAATATGAAAGCCAAAGCACCGACCTTTCAAAAGTTATGACCAAGGTTAAAGTTTGATAAAATTTTGCAAAACTGGGTCAAACTCCAAGGTCAAGGTCAAATATGGTGGTACCCAGAGAAAGGTCTTGTCACAAGGAATACACATGTAAAATATGAAAGTCATAGCTCCAGCCAATCAAAAGTTATGGGCAAGGTTAAAGTTTTTGCGGACAAACAGACAGACGGAAGGACAGGGCAAAACTACATACCCCCGAATCTTCGATACGGGGGCATAAAAATGCGAATAAAGCGTTCGATTAATTTATCTTATCCAATAAATTAAAGAACTGAGAACACTTAAACTGGTTGCAAATTGTACATCTAGTAGGAAAATTCTATGAAATATTTTGTTTATAAAACAAGTAGAATCAACAGTTAACACATTAATCACAGATTGTGTTTGCCTGTACATGATTAGAAAAACTGACTTTCTATGAAATTGCCCAAAAATGTACGATACATGGGAGAATTATTTGAAATCGCAAAGATATAGTCAGATAAGAAACAAACACACTCAATTTTGTAATTCATATTCGATTATCTTGTGATTTATTTTTGAAATTGTGTATACTTCATAATTATATTTAAAAAATCCCTGTGATTCATATTTAATTATGCGAAAAGTTCATATTCGAAGTCTTGTTACTGTGTATTTTTAGGGATGTCAAAATATTTATTTTCCTTAGTCGACTATTCGATAACATTAATCGAACGATAGTCGAATATTCGGAACATTTTCTTAAAATAAAATTTTAATATTTCAAACCTCACTTGTAAATGCAGGAGGTATTTATAACAAAAAAAAAAACCTTTTTACCTCATATATACAAAAAGTAACATCAATTGCCTCTGTTGCACATAGATGTTTGCAGGCACCTAACGTGTGGGCAGTGTGTTTATATGAAATAATTTTAGACCGTAAATTATTCATATATCGGGGGGGGGGGGGGTTAATACACTATCTACGCCTTACTCTTTGAATATATGTATTGCTAATTGAATTAATTCGGAAAGATATACATATCACTACTTCAAATAAAACGTTTTATCATAATTATCATTTTTATCTTTCATGGAATTTTATTCAATTATTCTCCATTGCTAAAGCAAATACGCCGGGACAGTCTATGTGTTTGTTCATCACAAAAATTTGAACATTGGTCATAATTTTTTGTTTAGTTTATCAATTTCAAGAAATATTCATCTAATAGAAAATATATAATAATTTTGAGAAGATCGGACTCTCATATTCCACATATAAATTACGAATTACAAAATCTTTCTGAATTTATTTTTTTTATCTTATGACCTTGTCAGTGAAATTTGATATACTTATAAAAAAAAAATGACCCTGACCTAAGCTTAGTATGGAATGAGATATATGTTTTCATAATTGACCTGTGCAATACCCGTGACAAAACTATAACAAGTCACTGGAATGTATATAGCCTAAGATCTTTGACCTTGACATTTGACTTTCTTTTTACAAAACTTTTAATCCTGGCCAAAGCTTTGCATCTGATGAGACAGGACTTTAATATTTTCTTGTACATGAACATAGCTGTAACAAGACCTTCCAAATATACTTTGATTTTTAACCTCATAAACTTGACATTGAAGTTTGATCGACTTTCAAATCATAACTCGATCCTTGGTCCTAAGCTTTTAAACAGAACATCCCACTTTAAAAATATATAATAATTTTAAATATGATGAGCCGCCACGACAGTCACAATATGCCATAGACGATTGCATCCCAACCAAAAAGAAAAAAAAAACAAAACAAAAAAAAACGTTTAAAGACATTCCATATCATTTCCATGCAGTGAAAATACACTGGGTCTCCTTCTTGACAACATGACAGCTAGGGGTTGTAGAACACAAATTTTGGCACTATTATCCTACTGTTCTACTGTCATGAACATAGAAGAAATTTGAACTTTGTGTTGGTTGCTCTTCTTTTATGATAATTTTTACCATTTCACACTTTATTGATTAATTATGTAACTATGTATATCTTCACATTTTCTCTGGAACAAGTAAACAACATAATGGAATTTTTAGATTTCTCTCGATTTATGCAATAGAGGAATCAGGATACATTGGCATTTACAATGTAAAGATAATTCCACACAAATATAAATCTTTGTCCATTGTTATAAGTTTCTATATCCTTTGCTTCCTCCTTGACAGGCTTACATGCACTACAAAATAAAAAGTAAATAAGATCAATATTACATTAGAGTCAAGGCATCTTTATTACAATAAAATCATTATAGTTCATTAAACAACTCATACGTTCTCCACAAGATGTTACGTTTATGAAGACACCCTAAAAAGTAATTGGATTCATTTTCATAATGCAAACTATGTTGAAGGTCACCCTACTAAAAAGATGGGAACTAGACCCTGCACGAGGGAAGAAAAAACCGTGATGAAGGGTATATAGACCCTAGTGATTGGTATACAGAACCTGGTGATAGATAAACTGACCCGAGTGATGGGTCAAGAGACCCTGGTGATTGGTATACAGTACCTGGTGATAGATAAACTAACCCTGGTGATGGGTATACAGACCCTGGTGATAGGTATACAGAATCTGGTGATAGATGATACAGACCCTGGTGATAAGTATACAGACCCTGGTGATGGGTATACAGACCCTGGTGATAGATAATACAGACACTGGTGATGGGTATACAGACCCTGGTGATAGGTATACAGAATCTGGTGATAGGTATACAGACCCTGGTGATAAGTAAAGAGACCCGGGTGATAGGTATACAGACCCTGGTGATGGGTATATAGATCCTGGTGATAGGTATACAGACCCTGGTGATAGGTATACAGACCCTGGTGATGGGCATACAGACCCTGGTGATAGGTATACAGAATCTGGTGATAGATGATACAGACCCTGGTGATAGTTATACAGACTCTGGTGATAAGTATACAGACCCTGGTAATGGGTATACAGACCCTGGTGATAGGTATACAGAATCTGGTGATAGATAATACAGACCCTGGTGATAGTTATACAGACCCTGGTGATAAGTATACAGACCCTGGTGATGGGTATACAGACCCTGGAGATAGGTATACAGACTCTGGTCATTGGTATGCAGACCCTGGTGATAGGTATAAGGACACTGGTGATAGGTATATAGACCCTGGTGATAGATAATACAGACCCTGGTGATGGGTATATAGACCCTGGTGATAGATAATACAGACACTGGTGATAGGTATACAGACCCTGGTGATAGGTATACAGAATCTGGTGATAGGTATACAGACCCTGGTGATAAGAAAAAAGAGCCCCGGGTGATAGGTATACAGACCCTGGTGATGGGTATACAAACCCTGGTGATGGGTATATAGACCCTGGTGATAGGTTTATAGACCCTGGTGATGGGTATACAGACCCTGGTGATGGGTATATAGACCCTGGTGATAGGTACATAGACCCTGGTGATAAGTATACAGACCCTGGTGATGGGTATACAGACCCTGGTGATAAGTATACAGAATCTGGTGATAGGTATACAGACCTGATGGGTATACAAACCCTGGTGATGGGTATATAGACCCTGGTGATAGGTTTATAGACCTTGGTGATGGGTATACAGACCCCGGTCATGGGTATACAGACCCTGGTGATAGGTATATAGACCCTGGTGATAGGTACATAGACCCTGGTGATAAGTATACAGACCCTGGTGATGGGTATACAGACCCTGGTGATGGGTAAACAGACCCTGGTGATGGGTATATAGACCCTGGTGATGGGTATACAGACCCTGGTGATAAGTATACAGAATCTGGTGATAGGTATACAGACCCTGGTGATGGGTATACAAACCCTGGTGATGGGTATATAGACCCTGGTGATAGGTTTATAGACCTTGGTGATGGGTATACAGACCCTGGTGATGGGTATACAGACCCTGGTGATGGGTATATAGACCCTGGTGATAGGTACATAGACCCTGGTGATAAGTATACAGACCCTGGTGATAGGTATACAGACCTGGTGATAAGTATACAGACCCTGGTGATAGGTATATAGACCCTGGTGATGGTATACAAACTATGGCAATACATAAACAGACCCTGGTAATAAGTATACAAACCCTGTAAAAATAATTTATTTATAAAAGAAATATATGATAAATGCATAAATAAATCAATAAATAAATGCAAAAATAAATCAATCAATCAATAAAGAAATAAAAAATAAAGAAATAAATAAAAATACGAATAAATGAATGCATAAATAAATAGATAAATAATAAATAAATAAATTAATAGAATACGAAATAAATGAAGGAATGAATATAATAAATAAATAAACAAACAAATAAATGAACTTCTTAATGAATTCATCAATTACTTAATTATTAGAATAATAAATAAATAAACAAACATGCATACAAATTAATAAATCAATGAATTAATTAATAGATAATTAATTAATAGATGGAATAATTAATAAATGAAGGAAAGAATGTTATAAATGAATTTAAAATATATATATATATATATATCTTTTAATAAATTAATCAGTTACTTAGTTAATTAATTATAAGAATGATAAATAAATAAATTAAATAAATAAATTAATTAATTAATAATTAAATAAATAAATAAATAAACAAACAAATAAATAAATAAATAAATAAATAAAAGCTAGCTGTAAAGTTGATACATTTATTCTTCTGCTTTTTTAAATAAAAGTTGATCGAATTATGCAAAAATTTCTGCATCTGACTATAGTATCATTCCGCAATACTAGTTTCCATTATATATTCCGAATTTCCTCTCTGCTGTTTTCCGATCTCGATGGAAATTTATTTCACGCATGCGCTCTGCCTGGTTATAGAGGCTGGTTACGAGATCCAAAACAGCATACATATTATACCTCAAATGGCGGAGCGCGAAAGAGAAACACAAACATGTGTAAGTACAAATGAGTACTCTCTTGAGTAATCATACACGTGTTTATCTTTTTAAAATACTTATTATTCTACTTAGTATCGCTTGAATTATATGAAATCAAACTGTACTCAATCATACAATTGTTTTGTTAGTTATGCACGCAATTTCTAAAATATTATGTAGCGACGGAAAAGCAACGGTTGATAACTCTAATATTTGCTAAATTTGTGTTGTCAAAAAATGGCGTGAAAAATAAACGATCGGGTGGTCGTGTGTTACGGACTGATACAGTAAGACGATGAAATGTACAGTCGCAAAAGTTTTTCGGAAACCTTCTTGAAGTATTACTGCAAGTGTATATCGATGAAAATAAATAATTTGCATCAATTCAGTTGGAAAAAAATAATAATGAAATATTCGTTTCAAGAGAAAAAAATTGAATTTCAGAATATACACCAAGAAAACCTGATTATAATAAAACAGAAAAGTACTTTCTATGAGAATTCAATCTAAAAATAATTTTAAATCCTTGTATTCAACACCAAATCACGTTTGATCACATGGACTATTTTTGCCTGACAGGGTTATTTGCCCTTTGCTGTCATTAAGGAAAACGAAAGCATGAGGGGTTTGTAGGATTTTAGTAAATTGCGAGGTGCCAAATGGTCATAACATCATGTGAATATCTTGCTTTCAACAATTTAGTTTATTTTGACTTTGTAAGGTGATGTACGACGATGAGGGTCATATTCAGCGTCACATTTCAGTGCCGTCTGCTTTTCACAAGCTAAAATAATTGTATTAAAAATTGGAGATTGAAAGTTTCTAAATACACTGGTACACTCACAGAAATGGCCTATAACTTACTCGGTAGTTCTATTTATCATTAACCCCCTCCCCCTTCAAGCCAAGCCAACTCAACAACCTTTAAGTTATCTGTAACTAGATCAATTTGTTTTACTTCATAAAAATAATTCATCAATACTTCAAATAAAATTTAGAGAAACCAAAAGAAATCAAGCAGAACTTTGTACATCACATCTTACTGAAAGAAACAACATCTGTAATGTATAAGTAGGTTAAGTGAGAAATTATGGGATTGAGAATTGGGTCATTGAACTTCTTTAACATAAATATTCCAATACATAAATATATGGATGACGATAAAACATATCTTCATTTTGTGCCTCATGCAATACTCTCTTGAATAATTATTATGTATAGCCAGTTTAGCTTTTCTTGTAACTTTCTAATACTAAAATAAAATGTGTGCGAGTTTGATGTGTATGTAAAAAATTTGTGGATTTATTAACTTCTATTTTACTTGCTGAGGCTTAATTATGATGCACTTACAGAATTTCTGATCATGATATTTTAAGTTTCATAACTTTAAACCTAATCCTTTCGCTTTATCAAAGTAATCATTATTTGTGAAAAACATCTTGTTCCCCCTAGTAAGAATTTTATTCCTAATTTTTTATTGTGTATGTACCCCCTCCCTTTTTCGGGGGGGGGGGGGGGGATATTTTTAAGAAAAAAAATTATTTTGGCAATTCTGATGCTGAATTTACAAAGAAATCTAGCTGGAGAAATATTAAGTTTTTGATATTGATATTTCTCATACTTTTTATCAAGCAAAGAATGAAAAAGATAAAGTGTTACCACATTTCGAATTCTGGCAACCATATAATATTTGTTTTTCATGAGATTATATACACTGGAAAACAATTTAAATATATATTTTTTGTTTATATAATTGTCTTAAAGCACTTTGCATTAAATAAAGAATTGTAGCTAAGTAGGTTTTGTCTCTTTGATTTAAAAAAAAAAATGGCAACACTTTTTGTTTCAAGATGTGAAAAAATGAAAACAAAAAATAATCATAACTTTTTTATTTTTCAACCAATTTCAAAAAATGAAACTGTTTTGGAAATGGTTTTGAAGGCTCTTAAATATAAAGTGTTGCTTTTTAAATTAAGAAGTGCTTTTAAAAATCATGTTCCATAGCTATATTATGTAAAGAAAATTCAGGTTAAAGAATTGTAATTTCATTTTTCAGTTGATTTCGGATTCTTCATGCCAATATGGACTGCAATCAGTTTGGGGTACTGGAAACCGGTTGTTTGTGTTTCCAGGAAAAAATCCCCTCCTTTGCACAGGTACATATAATAGAATCTAGAAAGATGGGACTCTGTACCATTTTTACAGTGAATTTCAAACACTGGTAATTTTACATGTGTTTCTAAATTTTGTTCTTCATTTTGTTGATTAAAGAGAGAAGACCAGCCTCCGGTAAATGGGAAAAGATTCGGGAAGTTCAATGGGACATCGATCTACACCACCCTGTACTTAGGAAAATGGTCAACGATTCACATAGTAAGAACACTGTACAAAGAAAATACAGGAAATTTGTGGGGGGGTTTTCCTGATGAAAATTTAAATATTGGATATAGTAAAAAATCTAGAAAAAATTAACAGCTTGAGTGTTTTACTACTGAAAAGCATACTTGCCAACCTCCAACATGTAAAAATCTGGTCATGACCAGATTTGGAAAGTAAAAAATCTGGTCATAACGCGTAACAACGTTCACGACATATTTACCTTGATTGAATTAAATATAATGTAAGTATTTGTGTATTGAGAATTCTTTTATTAAACAAAGGCTTTAACTTACAATGACAAAAAATTATCAATATTGATTAAATTTACATGTTAAAAAGAGCATCGAAGGTTTCATTCTTCAGTATTGACCTGAATTAAGAGTACATTTTCTTTTTTAAAAAGAGAGCCTTTTCAGTTTGTACTAAATTTGAAAGTATTTCAATCTTGGTTGTGAAATTATTTTTCCTCTCTTTTAATTTATTTGATTAACAAGTGCAATATGTATTAAATGTTCAGTAAGGCCTACACTATCTTTGATCAATTTATTTTAACTAATGAAAGTTGTTTTCCAAGATTCCTTGATATGTACATGATGTTTCTCTTTTTAATTTGTTCCTGTTGGCCCTGATAACGATCTAGTTCTATTGGAAGCCATTTTAAATTGACTTCAAACTTTGATTTGTCAAAACAACTCCCAGGTAATTGTTTACACCTGCACTGATAATTTACTGCCAATACTGGTACACGGCCTACTGGACATAGCCATCGGCATTGTTTACGTAGATCCAAGCTTGGGTTGTAACTGGAAGTTAAAAGTGCAACCTAATTTACGAACCAAATCCGGAAATCGGGAGATTTTCCGAGTTGTTCGGCAAAAATCGGGTGAAAAGCATGACCCGCCGTGTCATAAAAAATAATCGGGTTAAGGGTCGAAAAATCGGGTGTAACCCGACGAAATCGGGTGAGTTGGCAACTATGCTGAAAAGTATACTCGGGGCTTAAATTATGTGTTGCAAGCAGGTAAAAGGACCCTGTCCCAGTTGAAAATTGACTTTTTTTTCTGTGAAAATTAAGGAAAAAATTCCCAAATGACAAACATTGAATTTTTCAGTGCTTTTTATCAACAATCTTGAATTGTGAGATTTATGTAATAATTACATCACATTTTTAAGTAAAATTTTAACGATTAAGAAGGGGTGTAGGGAGGGAAGCGACCTAGCCCTTTCTTCGAACATAACCCACTTTTTCATTGGCTGATCCAAAGTTCTGCACCAACAAAATTGTTTCTCTCTATCAAAGCTGTCAAGTGAAAATTTGATGTCACTGTGAACATAGAAAATTCTTATGATTAAGTGCATCACTTAATAGAATACTTAACGATTGTTGATTGGATGAAAAAGTAGGTTATGTTCTAAATATAAAGACTATGTAAAGGATAAGCGTACATTCTGTCTTTATTCTACAGTAAAACATCATTTGTCATCAGTATTTCCAATTTTTGCATATATTTTTCAATTTCAAATTGTCAATTACCCAAAAGGGTCAATTAAGGGTATACTCATCTATTTACACTTAACTCTGCAATGTAATATGTTTTCTTTAATATATTTTAATGCAAGATTCCTTTCTTTAATATTTTTTTATCCATCATAATGGTTATATTTATAAAAAGTTTTTTTTGTAAAGTTGCATAATGAAATATGATTTCAGATATATTTGTTACCCTGCAACGCCAAGCTTCTCGGTTAAATGGAGCAGCACTTCATGCACAGTAAGTTCAAAGGCATATAATGATTGAGCTGCTTTTTGACAATTCCACGGTGGCAAAATAAAGGTTTTTTTTCCAATGTGGAGATAATAAGTTAAAGAAAAAGCTTTTCAGATACAACACACCAATTTTGTGTGTACCTCAGGCTCTTTGTTTATCAAAGTTTTATTTATACCCATGCAAACAAAGTTTGGAGGGTATATAGGAATCACTTTGTTCATTTGTCTATGCAATCTTGTCCAGACTATATCTTTGTTATGGAGAATTATTGCAAGCTTGTACTTGGTACAAAGATTGTTAATGATCTAAGGGTATGTCAGGACCTTGACCCAAGGTCATTCTGGCAAGTTCAAGGTCATTGGTAGAAAAAATTATAAATTTTTGTCATGTCTACATCTTCCTAGTGAAGACACATTTGAAGTTCATACCTCGCACAAAGATTGCTTATGACCTGAAGGTGTATCATGACCTTGACCCAAAATGATTTGATGAAGTTTAAGGCAACATTTAGAAAATTGTGTTTTTCCTGTCTGAACCATATCATTAGAGACTCATATTTATCACAAATACTACCTATGACCTGAGGATATGTATTGACCTTGACCCAAGGTCATTTCAGCAAGTTCAAGGTCTCTGGCAGAAAAAGTGTGTTACTCGTGTATGGTCTATGACTCTCAAATGGAGTATTATTGGAAGTTGATACTTGACACAAAGATTGCCTATGAGTAAGGTCACTGGAAAAAAAGTGTAAAATTCATGTCAGGTCCATGATTTTCTGATGGAGAAGCATTGGAGGTTCGTAATTCATTCAAAGGTTACTTCTGACCATAGGATGTGTCAATTTTTTTAACCAAGGCAATTTTGGCAAGGTTTCATTTGGAACGTTGAATATTGGTACTTTAAAAAAAATCCAGTGGGAGGTTATAATTTTGTGAGCTCGCTCACAGTACCTCTAGTTTCTTTTTGGCATCAAAAATAACCCCCTATCTAATTTAGGATTAATTTAAGGGAGGCATAAGAAAAATGATGTCAAGTGCTTATAGATTTTATAGACATGAGGAAACTTAAAGTTTTATACAATGTTTTGTCAAAAGGTGTGTACATCCATGTATTAATGCATGAAATACTTATATATTAAACAATATTTCTTATTCATTTGCCTTTTTATGAAAGTTAAATAACTACATGTATTACCATTTTGACAGAATATTAAAGTCAAGCAAACACTACAGAGCAACACAAAAAGCCTACCTAAAGGATATGGAGGAAATGATAGGTATGTTACTCCATCATCTGTATAGATTATATTGTACTGTAGGTGTACATCTGTATAGATTATATTGTACTGTAGGTGTATTTGTTTAAGCTTATTCAAATGTAGCACAGACAAAGACCAGGTCTATTTTCCACAGTCATGCTTTTAAGCTGTCAGTATTTAGTGTTTTACATTTTTGTGGTCGTCCTGAGTTGGTGCACAAACGGCACCAAAGGTGTCAAAATATGTATCCCACTAAAATGATATGTGTGTACAGTATGTGAAAAAGTGCAAGAAATTCAGTTAAATTGTCTTCTCAGTTACCGTATTATTTTCAAAATTTCTTGCACCATATGGTATTTATTTAAAAAAATTGTGCTGGAAAAAAAATTACTTGATATTTGTATAGAGAGCAGCAGAGATGAGGACCAAAGGCAGCAGTACATGGAACACATCAAGCTATTGGATATGTCTGAGCTCATCTGGAGTCTGTGTGAAATCCTCTTCATAGAGAGCCCCGTTGGTAAGCTTGTTTGTTTAAAATCCTCTTCATAGAGAGCTCAGTTAGTAAGCTTGTTTGTTTAAAATCCTCTTCGTAGAGAGCCCCGTTGGTAAGCTTGCTTGTTTAAAATCCACTGCATAGAAAGCTCTGTTGGTAGCTCTTCATAGAGAGCTTTCTTGGTAAGCTTATTTCATTGAAATCTTCAAAGAGAGATCTGTTAGTATGCTTGTTTGATTGCAATCTTCATAGAGAGGTCTGTTGGTAAGCTTGTTTAATTGAAATCTTCTTCAAAGAGAGCCCTGTTTGTTAACCTGTCCTTCACAGTTTTTCTCTAAGATTAGGATAGATTTTTGGTTACACTGATGTATGACAGTTTACAGATAGTAAAGTAGCCTGAAAGTTGCAGATTTTATATTTTTGCTGACAAAAATTGAAAATAGTTATCTGAATTTTGAATTCTTTGTTGTTTATATACACAATTAGGTAAGAGTATTACTTGCCGTATATACTCGCCTATAAGTCGTTTTTTTTTTTGGGAGTTAAATTTTGGTCCAAAACTCCGTGTCCGACTGATAGGTGAGTCATAGAAAGATTGGTATTTCTCTGAATGACGAAAGGTAGTATTTTATAAACAATCCCGCCAATTTTCGTTGAAAAGAGTCTTTATATATTAAATTATTTGATTATGCATAAATACATGTATTTATAAATTTTAATAGATTTATTTTTATCTTAAGTGCACATTACTTATTTTTTAATGATATAAATTACTTATCAACATCATTTTTTAAGAATATTGATTAAAACCAGGTTAAAACATAAGAGCATTGATTTGATATTGTCAACCTATTCTGGCAAAAAGTTGTACTGACTTATAAGTGGGTCAGTGGTAAATCGCTCCAAAATAACTGCAGAAAATACAACTGACTTAAAGGCACACTGACTTATATGCGAGTATATATGGTATGTTTAGGGTCAATGATATGATACACAAAGAATTTGCTGATAAGAGTTTCACTTGTTAGAAACAATACTGTGAATTTCTTGTAGGTGGTCTTGTTGTTCCCCAGTTACTGGACTGGTGGAAGATTCATTTTACAACACCTGAGAAGATGTTTGGTGATCTATTGAGAGAAGAACAGCCAGGAAATATTTCTACTTATTGGGATACAGTAAATTTCTAGTTGTTTCCAAATTAAAATTCTTTATTTTAACCACATTAATAAAATCAAAAAAGAAAGGATGCTTCTGCCTATATATGCAACATGTGGATTAAAAGTACTGTATAGGGCGACAATAATTTGAGATGTAAATATTCACGTTGTTAATAAATACGTGAATTCAAGAAACAGTGAATAAGCTTTAAGTAAACTAATATTACCTCAAGCACTTGTCACCTAATTTTATCAACATTTTGAGTAACCCAGATTTTTTTTTTTCAATTTTATTTATTCAAATAACTCTCGGACTTCCTTTATTTTGTTGACGTATTGCATTTACCAATGGTTTTTGCTGTGATGTCTTGTCCCCTCAAAAAGGAGAATTTTGGGTGATGTGTGTCAGTTTTACCTTGGTATAACAACTGTGGGGGTAATACGACACCACTCCTTATAATAGCAAGCAGGGAAGTCATTTGACATTTAGTCCAATACGTTTAACAGCAATTGTCTCAATCATTTTGAATACTGATGCAGATCAGGGAAAGAAACCAATGTAGGTGGTTTGAAATTATGATTTTTAAAAATTTTTACACCAGTTCCGCAAATTCATCAAGCTGGGATAGTGTCCGAGGAGAAAAAAACGTGAAAATTACTACCCGTGGAATTAATTCTCTATACAGAAAATTCTCTCATAGACAGTGGGTGTAGTGCCTGAATAGAACACATTATTAGGAGACCATGTATATAAGAAAAGCTCACTATGCTTTCAGTGTTATTTAACATTGTCAAATAATGATGATCTTCCAATACTGTGTGCTTGTTCTTTCAGATTTTTCGATTGGTGCTACAAGGTCAGGTGGAGAGGGCTTGGCGTCTACTCTCCCTACATTCAGCAAGTCAGACTGATGACTTCCAAACTCTGATCAGCTTACTCAAGAGAATGCCACTTCTCACGGTAAGTGTTTTTGAAGTTGGACTTGAAATTGTAAATTGAAAAAGTTTTTACATAGCAAGTATTGCCAAAACCCAGAATTTCAATGATGCAGGGATATGATCTCTCTGTACACTAGTTTGATTATTATGAAAAAATATTTCTTTTCAAGAATATTTACATGTACACTGTATTTGGTGCAGTAGATGTGTATTGTGTTTATATGCCAGTCTGTGATGGTACATATTTTGGTATGGCATTCATGTCTGTCTATCTGTCTAGCTGAGATATAGTCAAATTTCATTAGGGCCCCGCAAGGATTTGCGGATGCCCTATAGTAATCACTCTGTCTGTCCGTCTGTCTGTCTGTCTGTCTGTCCGTCTGTCATTCTTCCGTCCACAAATTTTCTGTTTTTTTCTAATAACTTTTTTTAGGGTTGACCAGTTAAGTTCAAATTTGGTATGTTGGTTGAATAGGCAGTAAGACATATTTTGATGCTAAGTTTGGTTCTCTATGTCATCTGGTTTGGAGCTGGGGTGGTGGGGTATATTCCTTAACTTTATGTAAGAGTTAATGGGCAAAGAGAGATAACTGCTGAGAATGTTCCTATTGTAAACTATGAAAGGCTGCAATAAATCTCTTGGGATTAATTAACTTTCCTCTTGAAGAAAATCCAAAGCATTTATCTTTATCTGCCACATTGAGATTTAAAATTAACACCTCTGTCTGCAAATGAAGTTTGTTTTGAAGTTGAGGTCAATTCTGAATGATGTTTACATTCTCTGAAATGTGGATTTAAATAATGTTCTACTTTATTTTGTTAAAATACACAATAAGTTATGATTTTTTTGAATTCTAAAAACAAGATATAGATAAAGATATCGTTTTTATTATTATTTTCTTTTTTCTTTTTTTTTCTTTTTTTCTGCCTTATGTAAATTCAAGAATACTAATTATTTTAACATGTATTCAGATAATAACCTCATTCTATCATTGCTGAAAAAGTTCTTATTGTAAACTTAGAAGAAAAGATTGAGAGAGCAGTACATATAATTAATCCCGTGGGTTTGATTGTCTTGCTGGTATATTATATATATATATTTTAGAGGGTTATCTTTCTGTCACTTTAAGATTAATTAACACCTTTGTCTGCAACTGATATTTGTTTTGAAGTTAAGGTCAAGCCTGGGTGATATTTGCATTCACTGAAGGCTGGCATTTTAGGAAACACATGCTTCATTCATTTTTAAATATACATTTAATTGAGTTATTGTAGATATGATGTTTTTTACTGCCTTATGTAAATACAAGGATCATACTATTTACAGATTGTTGGATATTTAGCAGTTGCTGTTGCTTAATCTTTATATATTTTGAAATTTTTTGGAATCAAGTAAAATTCTCATCCCGTAATCTGCACCCTTGTATTTCTACACCTCGACGGAGCCCTTGCTGACTGGTCAGATTTCTAGTTTATTCAAAGTTGATGAGACTGAGTTAAAATTTCAAGATATCCGGGTTCAAGAAATTGAGACTAACATTCATAATGAAAGTGTGGTTGTTATATTTACTTCTCTCTCACTTTGCTATATCCATGGTATTCAAGATATCAATGTTCTAGATACTGAAGTTCAACTGTAATTATGGTCAGATATTATTTATGATTATTTTAAAAATAAAAAAAAAATTTACGTGATTTTTAATCATTAACTATGTGTTAATTTCTGATGGAAAAAAAGCCATGTTTACAATTTTAGATCAGATGTGTATATGCTTCTCCCTTCAAAGAAGCAGGATTTCTCTCTGAAGTAACTTGTACACAGAAACAAAGACAATGTTTGCCCAAAATGCTTGAGAATAAGCTAACTGGTTAAAAGCATGCTTACAGAAAGTTTCAGTGACATTATATCTGTATAATTATATTTTGTCCTGTTGCAGCAATTATACAGAGGTTGTTCGGTGGCAGAGTTTGACATGAAGTGGCGACATTGGAGAGATGAATGTCAAAGAAACTATGAGGAACAGAAGTTCTCCACAAACGCAAATTTAGAAACAGTAGTTAGGGTAAAGTTTACAGTAGTTAGGGTAAAGTTTGTGCTGTTTATAAATTCTCTGAAGACAATAAATGAGAATATAAATTTACTACATGGATGAAATGAAATGAAGACTGTCTGTACATGTACTTAGAGCATAGATTGCAAATTTTGATGTCTTGTTAGGGGCGTTTATGGTAAAAAAAAGTTTTGATTACAGCAGTAATTAAGTATTTATAGTAAGGACTTTTTTCTTACCCTCTGAATGGAGAAGCCCGATATTTTGCTGACAGTCAATGATAATTTGGCAGAGAATTATTCAAAAATTATTTAAATAACAAAAAATTATACTAACTTCGTTAAGAATGGTAGAAGGATTGTTTTAATTCTACATACTGTTTTACTTTTAATATTGACACTGTTGATCGTGTTTGAGTAGCTTCTGTGTGGTGAAGATGCGGTGTTGTTTTACTTTTAGTATTGACACTGTTGATTGTGTTTGAGTAGATTCTATGTGGTGAATATGCGGTGTTGTTTTACTTTTAGTATTGACACTGTTGATTGTGTTTGAGTAGATTCTATGTGGTGAGGATGCTGTATTCAGTGAAGTGAAGGAGTTCTGTGATCCCTGGTATCACATGTTGATAGCTAAAGCCCTCTACCAGGACCCAACAATTAAAGCTTGTGATCTCCATTATTATATCCAGGTAATTAACAACTTTGAAATTTAAATGAAGTTGAATTTAGACAAAAATAAGGTTTTTAACAGGATTTCTGTAGTAAAAATCTAGTTATTGAAATGGTGAAAATGTTATGTAGAGCAGGTACATGTTTAAATTGTAAGCATATTTGATATGAATATGTTTTTTACGCTGAATTCAAATAAAAGACTGATATGCATGTATTTACATTTTGTCCCTGATATTGTAGAGTTGTCAAGATGAGTACAGAAGCACTACTAGGATGGGAGAACTAGACAGTATTTTACTGTACACTCTAGAGTCTGACGTGTATCAAGTCATCAAGGACAGCAGGTAGATTTCTGAGATACGACAGTGAAATTTTAATTTGGGGGGGGGATTAAAACAATAATGGGGGAATTGCTGCAACCCTTCATGTAGATACAACCCTTACTGTAAAATTCTGTCCTGTTGCAGCATTAGATCCTTTTGTATCTTCACATGTAATCTGTGAAGTACTGCTAGCACTTAGTTAATGGCAGGTTTCTCTATTACTTTGTATGTTTTAAAGTCAGTATATCTTTAAAGGCAGATAACTTCCAAATAACTGCTAACGATAGTTGTTCTCCTGCCTACATCCAAGTCAATTTTCAAAAGTTAACACATTTGAATAATTTTTCATATCTATATAGATATTTATATGAATTTTCATAAAACATTACTTCTTTGGGAAAACAAAGATACATAACTCTATAATTTTGGTAAACTTGTGTTTTTCACTATAGAAATCAATGGAAAATGGAAAATATTTTTAAAACATCTCCCCCCCACCCCCGTGAAACAAAAATTCCTTTTTTACAGGTAATGTGGACTGTCATTTCACAAATTCATACCAAAGCTTTTTGTGTTTCACGGGGGGAACATATGTTTACAGACAAAAAAACTACAAAAATGCATATTTTTTCACCAATTTCAAAGGGGTTTATAACTAAAACATTGTATTTTATTAATAATATATGTTTAATTTTATATGAGTAAAACATAAAAAAAGATTTAAGGAACATTTATTCATATCCAAGAATATTTTAAAAGGTGGTGATGCTTTAAAGCCCGATTTCAATGAAAAATATTGTCTACCCCCCTTATTTTAAGAGCTGGAATTAGGGGTAATTAACTATTTAACACTGGTATTAAAATTATCAGTCAATTACAATTGAACTGTTCTTTGCATTAAACAAAGGTTTTACGGCCAAATTACCATTAGTATTGAATTAAATGGATGTAAAATGTAGGGGGGAATCGAGAGTTAGCGTGCGTAGTTCCTATACGTGTACTGCATCAAAAGATTTTTATAATGACTCATTTTCAAGATTTTGTGCAGTCTCATTCCATATTAATATTAAGAACCTGAGTGTATATGACTAGAATTATAATTACATGTATCTGCCTCTCTGACAATTTTGTTAGGCAAGAAATTTAATTAAGTAGTACTTTATGGTGCTGATAATAGTATTCAGTATGTAAATCGGTGTGCTTTGTAACTCAGTACCTCTACAGAGTTGTTGCTTAGTTTTTGTCTTTTTCTGTCAGGTCTGTGTTTAGTAATGGCTGGTTCGTAGCTCACCTAACAGACCTACTTCAACATTGTGGACAGTTAGACACTCATAGATTACAGTAAGTACACTTGACTGTTAACACTCTTGATTTGATTACCTGATGTTACCTGACAAAAAAGTCTTGCTAGTGACAAAAAGTCTTGATAGTGACAGAAAGTCTTGCATGAACTTTGATTTGGTATACTTTTTATGCTGCAGGACAGTTCAGTCAATTCCTAATATATCTTCAAATATAAACTGTAAAAACCAGTAAATGGGGTCCCATAAGGAAGGGGGGGGGGGTAAATTTATATTGCTCATATACATGTACATGTATTATAATCATAAAAAAACTGCTGTTTACTACAGATTTGGGTCAGATCTGAGAGAATTCCTCCTGTTAGAATATGCGAGTTCCCTCATGTCACACCAAAGGTGAGATTCTGCTGTACTCAGAAATTCCATATATTGATATGATACATTAGTCAGCTTTCTGAGGGCTCAGAAGAGCCCCCAATATCCTCTCTCTCTCTTTTTTTTTTTTTTTTAAAAATGGATAATTTATAATGAGAGTATTTAAAAGTATCTTAGGACTAATCTTTACAAAAGTACATTTATCCTAGCAGATAGCAACACCTGAACTTGTAATTTTGTGCTATTTTTTTTCTCTCTCTCTTCAGTTTGTGGATAGTTGGTGTTAGTTATCTTGACCATTGTGCAGAATTTGGAAGGTCAGTTTTATGTCCTTTATATGAATATGTATACACAGGACTTTTAGCAATGGTCTTGATTTAGCAGAAGCTGCTTTGCGTGAAAGGTGCTAAGTTAGTAAATAGAACACACAGCCAAATGTAATATTTTTACAGTATTTGTTGACAACCTTAATTTCATTTAAAAGTGTCCATGTAAATTACTTAATTTTATTTCATTGTAGGAAATACCTTGAATTATACTTGGATCACATTCCAGTAGATTCTGAAAGAAAGGCAAACAAAATTCTGAAGATCTGTGAAGACCGCAACATGACAGAACAATGTAAGGGAAACAACATCTTATTAAAGTTGATACCAGAGGTCCTTGTCAGCTTTACAATGGGGTCTGTCTCTGGACTTAAAATTTCTTATAAATGTTGATGTACATGTATAATTGCCATTATTGTAGAGCTGAGGAGACTAACACTACAGTTACTTGTCATGAATATGTAACTTTAAAAAAAAGAAAAATATACACTAGAGGAATATCTATTAATTGCCTCAATACCTTAACAGGCTAATTTTAGGTTTTTCCTTAAGAATTTCAAGAGGGATTGTACAACTTTCAGAACTGGACAAAGCAAATCTTGAAAGGCAAAATGAACAGTTTTTATGCAACTTGATTCTTTTAACTTTGCACCTAAATTAAGTCTACTCCAGTGGTTATGTTTTCTAAATAAAAACATGCTCAGTATGTTTTGGTTTATTGCTTTCTTCATGTCAAATATTCATACTGTTTTTATTTTGCCATTTATTGGTTAATTACATTGGAATAAATGCTCATCTGTGATTGAGATTTCTATACTTTGGTTATTAACGCAAAGGATTTCCAAATTTACAATTTTTTATAGGCCTTTATATATTGTCTTATCCTTTGCTTTTGTTAAAACATGAGAATATAATTGTTGTGAACAGATTTATATTTCGAACAGATCTCTACTGTGAACAGATTTCTGTTGTGAACAGATTTGTACTGTGAACAGATTTCTAATGTGTTTCTATTATGATTGTAGCCAAAAGTATCTGTAAAGTGATGGGGATGAGATGTATTAAGAACAAACGGCTTGGAGCTGCTCTCACTTGGTTTTTGAGGTCAAAAGTAAGAGTTCATGCAAAAGTAGAAAAAAAAATATTTTAGAATATTTTACATTTACTAATGCTTTGTCAGTAATTTTCTTACTAGTAAAGCCAGGGGTAATAACCTCATAATGTGAGAATATCTGCTTTAATCTCTGAACTCTTTCATCGACTAAAATTTAAGATTCACTAGCTAAGTTACTGTAAATCACTTTTTATTTCTGAGAACCTTATTTTTGTGTAACCACACGAGACCTCACGAAAATTTCATCCTATGATATAAATGATTCTACTGTTAAAGATTACATAGAGCAATTACTGAAATTCTTGAAAATTTTGTTTCGCTTATAAATACAGTGGCGCCATTTATCCGGACGCTTCACCTTACGGACGATATTTTTTGGGAACCGATTTTTTCCACGTTATACTGTCTCATCCAGAAAGTCGTGTTCCGCATCCGGACGGTCAGTTTCTACTACAAAACATAATAGTTCATTGAAAAATAACCCGTTTATCCGAACGGTATTTTTTCAAAAAACGACATTTTCACACTTATCTGCAGAAGTGTTAATTGTTGTAAAAACTTTGGCCATGCAGTCAGTTTGAAGGCGGTTACCTGTGACCTACAAACAATAGCGTCTAAAATGAGCGTGTGTTTACCTCAATTAAATCACACGTCTATAATGAAGCTCGAAGAATTTAGCTTAAATTGTGCATTAATTAAATAAAAAAAAAACGTTCAAAATCATATTGCTAATCGTATATACATCTGTAAATTTATGAGAATTTTGGAGAGTTATAAATAAAAATTAACAATAAAACAAGCGATTTCATAATGACCTTGGTCATGTTGACTGCATTAGTTTAAAATATAGTTTTCCATTTCTATAAAAACGTAAATGTATTTGAAATGCTTTTTTTCACAGGACAGTTTAAAAAGGTACATAATTGAAGAATGTCTTTCTATTTAATGTAATAATCCGCCTATAAAGGTACGAAACTTTAGAAAAGAAATATAAAACTGGCTTTGGGTATAGAAGTTTATTACTTTTTCCAAGGTATTTTTTTTTTTAAATCGAAATTTAAACTTAGAGTCTGTAGAAAATTAATATTGATAATCTGACATTAAGATGACTTGTGTTTATGTTGAATGTTTACAGTACTTTCACTGATTGCGCATGTTTCAGTCAGCTTTCAGTTTTCAGTTACTATAATAGTCCTGTGTACTGAAGATATGGGGTTAGTTTGTATTTGAACATTTTCAACTATGATGCTGTCATATTTAATGAGCTTCAATAATTATAGAAGATGGTGAAATAAAACTGTTATAGATCAAAATTTGCTCAGCCCATAAAGTCACATGCCAAAAAGAAGGCAAAAAAAAAATCCCTGTGTTAAAAAGGGAGGTCTCGGCATAAAATTGCCTATCCATTTTTTTATTGTGTAAATTACATTTTTTAAAATATATTTTTCTTTAATTAATTACTTCTTTTAAAACTATAAAATAAAAACAATAAACCAAAATATTACAGTTTTTTTTTCCTTTGCCTACACATTTGATACCAGTATGTGCATATATACATGCTTGGAGAGGGTTTATTAAGAGGTGATTCACTTATCCGGATGATTCATTTATCGGGACGATTTTTTGGGGACGGAGGTGTCCGGATAAATGAGGCGCCACTGTACAAAACAAAATCTCGCGAAAATAAGGTGTGAAAATTTAGTGATCTACAGTAGTAGATAGAAGACTTACATTTAAAGAATTCTTTGTTCATAATTTTCCAGGATGTTGGATTCGCCACAGTTCTTGCAGAAAAGTATGTATATTTGACACAGCAGTATCCTTCTGTAATTGTTCTGATGGTAAATCAGTAATAAGAGTATTTCAGCAAAGCATTTTCTAAAAATTTAATGTCTTGTATTTTCTGTCAGATTTTTACTGGAGTACAGTGAGAATGGAGAGTTCACGAACCTTGACCTAATAGATCACCTGGGCCCATCCATGTTACTAAGCAACAGACTAACATTTTTAGGTTTGAATGTTATTTTATTTACAGGTTCATTATTTTTTTTTTCTAGAAATAATAATTAATCATCTAATGAGTATTTGAATATATTGAAATTACAAATCAGAAAAAGAGATTGTATAAAGAGTTCCATGGTGAATTATTCATTCAAATTTATTCTTTAAGTCTTTGCAACTGCCTAAGTTTTGATTAACTTCAGTGTTAAATGGTGTATATTTAAAGGAAAATATCGGGAGTTCCACAAGCTTTATTCTGAGGGGGAGTATCGAGCTGCTGGAGACTTACTACTGGCCCTGTTACAAGCTCGACTGGCTCCAAAGCAGTAAGAGATTTTTTAACTTCCCTTGCCCTGTATAATTTTGTCAGGAGACCTACTGTATGAAGCTGACTTTTTTACTGCAAGGCAAATTTTTAAGGTTCACTTTCTGATAAGAGAGATAACTCTAACTAGGATAAATATTATTCCTGTATAAAATTGTCAGGTTGATAGGCCATATCTCTCAAATGATGCCCTGTAAGATAAATTGAATTAGAGTGCATTTTAATGATGAATAAGATTTCTTAAGAAAAGTCATTAGCATTAATTAAAGGAAAAAATTATATTTCTTATTAAGTAAACAAAGGGACACATTATGACAGAGTTCTTTTTTAAAAAGTTTTCTTCCCAACATTTTATTTTAATGAATTGTAAATACTTTGCATCCCAGCAATATCATCTTGTAGTGATGTTTGGTTTTTAATATCCCATGAGGAATTAAAGTTTTATAATCTTCATCTGTATAGCTCTTGCATTACTTTTTAGGTTTTGGATAACATTGTTAATTGATGCACTACCTCTACTTAAGAAAACAGAGGTGAGTTTTACATTTATTTTGCTTTTTTATACCTTAATTGATATAGGTACTGAGTAGCAGTAATCTATGTACAGCAACTAACTGACAACCTATTCATGGTCAATACCAACTCTTGGATAGTCAGCCAGACAATGCAGTAGCATGCATAATTTTCCTGCTACACAACAATGTAGTTACAAGACTTTACTGTAAATTTCCACAGTTTTTGTGAACACCCAGTATCTAGTATTCAGAACTTTATTTTTACAGCTCATCTTCAACAGTCAACAAACATATGAACTCATGCAGTGCCTTGAGGAACTGACCACAGAGTATAGTCTGGGAAAGAAAATAGATGGATTAGTATGTTCGCTTTATTATACTACAATTGAACTTCGGTATCTCAAACATGGATATCTCAAATACCATGGATATGTCGAAGTGATTTTGAAGTGCCAAGCGCTTATTTCTTAAGTATTTTACCATGGATATCTCGAATCCTCCCATATCTTGAAGTATTTTCTTGGTCCCGTGAAGTTCGAGATAACGAGGTTTGACTGTATATACATGTTCAAAAAATTTATTTCATAAAAGATTGTTTCATTACTTTTGGTTTTCTTCCTCTAAAGAATTCTTAGTTACTTTAAAATAAGTTGGAAAATCAGGCAGCAATATCTTAAAATGGACCTTTTGTAAGTTTTATCTTGGAATCTGAATTATCTCGTCTCTAATAATATAGAATAAATTATCAAAGTCAGATTCAATATTTAAAGAAATAAAACAATATTTCAATATATTGACTTCAGGGATTCACAGAAGCTAGAAAAGACCAACTGGATGCGTTGAAATTAACATTGACCGAGAACTTAGCCAAAGCCATACTTCAGGAAGGGACAGTGAAAATATTTTGAGATATCGTACAATTATGATCCCAAGGCAGCATCAAAATGACAGATTCCTAATTTGGGGAATGGAATTGTGCCCAGAAAGATTCGTAAACTTTATTTGCTAAATACAAAATGAATGTGTTACTTGAAGTTACTAGGTTGCATAAAATGTGTTCAACTTTTTACATTTATTGAAACTGTGACAAAACTCTCATTGTTATAATTTGAATCAGAGAATTTAGAAGTCAAAATTAAAAAAAAAAATTTAGGACTCGTTGTGACTTTCAATATTTTGAAAGAATCTGATTATGTGGATCCTTAAAACAAAAAAGTGAATCAACAATGTTTATTTCTTAAGAGGGCATTTACATTCTTCTTACATCACTTGAAGAAATGCAGATTGAATGTGCAAATTGATTCAGGACATACATTTGTGTCTTCCTGCCATACATGGATGTGAATTTCATGTCAATGTTAATGGAATATGATGTAAATGTCAATGGGACGTAATGTTAGTAGCATGTATTGTTACTTCCTACAATATTTGTGACATTTTAGGTACATTCAATCAAATTAAAGAATTCACTCTGTTCAAGATGGAGATGATATTTATTTCTATAATAGTTTATACAAAAATGACCTTGCAATAAGTGGCTGCCAAAAAATGCATGAAGATTTGGAGAGTAGACCTATTTTCAAATGAAATTTAGTATGATGTTTAGAGCTATAAGGTTGGGAAGCCCAAATCTCACCAAACCCACCGTCCGTCCAGACGACCTTGAGCATCTATGGTGAGTATGGTCTAAGGGCAACAAAATGTGTGAGTTTTGGTCTCTGTCTCCCTGGGGCATGAAAGAAGGGACCAAAATCATTAAAAAAATTGAAATCTTCATTACTGTTAGACATAAAGCAATCACAATGTTGGCATTGTAATTATAGGCATTGAGCGTTCCACCAAAATTGTGAAATTCATGGCTCAGGGTCAGGTTTTTGGTGTGTGGGAGGGACTGTACTGATCATATAGTGAAAAATGCATTATTATTATAATATTTTTTTTGGGGGGGGGGGGGGGGGGGAAGAGGTGAATCCTTTTCTCTAATCCTAGGCATTTAGCAGGCAAACTAAGTAAATGCCAGTAGTTGTAATGAGCAAAGGTTCTTTTAATCAGATTTGTGAAATTCGAAACCACTGGGTCAGGTATTCTGGTGCTACAACTCGATTATGTAGGGGGATTTTAACTATACTTTGAGAGAAGTTACTTCCCTTTGATTATTCTATCTATGATATAAATAACTCAGGTGACCGTTAAGGCCCATAGGTACTTACAGTACCCATATAATGTTAGAATGGCAAAATATGAAATATCGAGTGCGCTTGAAATAAAAGATAACACAAGAGTCTGACACATCGGCTTCATATTTGGATATTTTACCAAAAAAAAAAAAAACGTTAAAAAAACCTAAGGAGTAACAACCAAACTTTATCACTTGCATACGGGGTTTATATCTCTCGGTTGATTCGATTTGCAAGAGCATGCTCTACGTACGAACAATTTCTAAAACGAAGCAAGCCATTGACAAACAAATTGATGAAACAAGAATATCAACAGTTTCGTTTAAAGTCATCATTTCGCAAGTTCTATGGTCGATACAATGACCTTGTCGGCAAATACAATCTATCATTAAATCAAATGCTGACTGACGTTTTTCATACTAATTGTTAGGCCATTATTACGGATTTTTCCGTTTTTCCCGATCATGACAAGGAGCACACGGCGGGTGTGACCGGTTGGCAGGGGATGCCTACTCCTCCATGGCACCTGATCCCACCTCTGATGTTTTAGAGGCCTGTCATTGCTCTGCTACCGATTTGTATTGTTTGAGCTTGAATACTGTTCGTTATCTCCACATTTCATGTACTTTTTGTAGACGGTGTTTGAACCATCGTAGTTGTACGACCTTTAATTCTATAATATTGAATTCTATTTCTTCTCAATTTTTGGTTTCATTTTACCCAATCTTGCAGTGGCGGTTTTAAGCCCCCCCCCCCTAGATATCCTGGGTGGGATCCGCCTCTAAAGTGAAGATGGCGTGGGCATAATTGGGAACGTGAGCTGCAGCCGCACAAATTTCAGATAAGTACGAATCATGTGGAAATGTGCGAGAGGTGAATTAAAACTAGGCTAGAATTCTGAATTTAAAAGAACGTCACATATTCTAACTATTCTAAAAAGAGGGTTATAGTAAAGCCTTAGTTAGAATTAAAGCTAATAATTAAAAGAATTAATGAATTTCACTATAAAAATAACCCGTTATTTATGTAGTTGAATAGGACGGTGGTTTCCAAACTTTCAATTTCAAACATGAAGGGTTTCCAATTTTTTTTTTAAAACTTTGCATGCTGGTAGAATTTGCTTAGTAACTTCCTAAAATAAAATATTTTTTATCAATTCAGTGTCTGGTTTCCATGGCAACTGAAACACTGTTTGCAGCATATTATGGCTGACATTTCCTTTAAAAATTTGCAAAATTGTCAATATTCAAGTTTAAATAAAAAGAAAATAAGAAAAGAAATCACAATTATATTTATTGCTCATTCAAATACAGCTCAATTAGTTACTTGTCACAATAAATTAAAATATTTTTATGTCCAGTAAAATGATTTAGATACCCTTTATCTTTCCAATCATTCATTTGCACAAAAATATGAAAGTACTTCTTCTTCCCATATTCCATCATTATTGTGATTATGTATTTAGTTTTCCCAAATTTTCTTGGGTTTTAAGGAAATTATTTCATGATATATGCACTATTTACATACAATTTATACCTAGCACCCCCCTTCTGAACTGAACTGAATTTATTGATCTCTTCACAATTTTACAATTGTATAGCGAGATATAAATGTAAACTACAATGATGAAAAATAAAAACACATATATGGCATGCGTGAGTATGAGGATAGACAAATAGTACAATTATAGGTTTAGGTCTTTACTAGTTTGGGGAGCACGTTTTAGTAATTTTTTTAATAAATATACACAGTTTTCTTAAAAATGACTGTTTATCTGAATTCATTATTTCTCTAAATGTAATTGTATTTTTGAATCGTAATTGTTTTTGTGTTAAACATTTATTTCTTTCACGTGTCATTGCCGTACAATTTAATATGTAATGGAATTCATCTCCTATTTCATTTAATTGACATTTCTTACATAGTCTAATCTCTCTTGGTTCATTTAACCAACGTCCAGTTTCAATTGGCAAATAATGATTACAAGTACGGAATTTGCAGAAATTTATGGCTTCTTTTCGTGATAGAATTTCTAAATATTTTTCAAATTTTAGTTCGTCTTTGTATATTCTATAATTTAGGGTCTTTGATAAATTTTGAACATCCGAATTCCATTTTTGTTTAAATTGATCTATTAAAGTTAGTTTTACTTTCGCTCTTAACCAATTTGGATTGAAGGCTTGACTGTTCCAAATATTTGAAAGTCCACAATCGTTTAAGATATTTAAGACATTATTTATCCAAGTAATCTTCTTAGTCTTTTAATTTACGGTATCACTTAATTTAAACAGCAGACTTGATATTTTTGTTTCTTTTCCAAGTTTAAGTTTACACCAATAGGAAATAATACGCGTTTGTATTTCAATGGACATGGGATGTCGACCGAGTTCACCATACACCATACAGTCCGGAGTAGATTGTTTAAGGTTAAGAAGTAATTTACAAAATTTTAGATATACTCTGTCTACAATTGCATTGTTCGAAAATCCCATACTTCACATCCGTACAACAATATAGGCTGAACAATTTTATCGAACAGGTCTAACTGACATCGTATTGATAGATTATGTAAGCGGCCTTTCTTAAGAATTTCAAATATTGCTTTATTTGCTTTGTCAACTTGTTTCTGCTTTGCTTCCTTGAAAGAACCTGACGTACTAAATAAAATACCCAAATAATTAGTTTCATTTACAACTTCAATCAGCTGTTCGCCGTATTTAAACTCAGGCTTTTTTCTTTCCTTTACTTATTATCAAAACTTTTGTTTTGTTAATATTAATCTTCAAATTCCATTTTCTGCAATATTTTTCAAAACAATTAATTTTTGCTTGTAAGTGCTCGGCAGATTCAGCTATCAATACGGTGTCATCGGCATATAATAGTGCAAATAATGTCAAATACACATTTAAATGTTGTTCAAACATAACAGATATAGTAGGTAAACCAATTGACATATTTTGTTGGAAAAAATTCTGCAGGTCATTTAGATAAATTGAAAATAAAAAAGATGACAAGTTTTCACCTTGTCTGACACCATTTTCACAATTAAAAAAATCAGTAACGTTATTATCATAGACTATCCTTGATTTGATTTGATTATACATATTCGTAATAACATTGTACATATTTCCATTAATATTGTTTGCACACAATTTAAACCAAAGAGCTTTTCGCCATACATTATCAAATGCTTTCTCGAAGTCTATGAAAGCACAAAAAAGTTTTTTCTTATTTAGTTTCAATAATTCTGATATAATATGTATGGAAAATATATGATCAACAGTTGAATATTGTTTTCTAAAACCAGTTTGATTTTCCTGCAATATTTCATATTCGTTTGAAAAATCGTTTAATCTATCATTTAATATGGATGTAAAAAGTTTTCCAATACAGCTTAAAATTGTTATAGGTCTATAATTTTGCGGATTGTTTTTCTCTCCCTTGTTTTTATATATTGGAAGGATATTTCCTTCAAGCCAACATTCGGGTAATTTACCTGTTGAAAAAGCTAAATTAAACAATTTTTCGTAAATTGGGAGCATAATTTGTATTGATGATTTTATATATTCATTTCTTATTTTATCCTCGCCTGAAGCTTTGTTGTTTTTTAATTTTTTTTACAGCACTAAGTATTTCATCTTGCGAAATGTATTTGTTTAGATTATGATTCAATTCTTCTATTTCTAGTATTTTAATTTCATTATCTAGCATCTTTTCTATATTCTCTGGTATTTCAGGTGCCTTATTTAACTCATTGAAATAGTTAAATAATTTTTCAATTCCCTTCAGAAACTTGTTCCCGGCTGTGTGCTGAAAGAAGAATTATAGCAAAATCATTAGTTATCATTAATTTTAGACCCAAATGAATACATTAAAAACAGTTTTAATGAATTGTACCGCCTAATAAGTGCTACCTGCCTGATAGTCTCACAATTGCTATCCTTTGACGTCTCAATCGCTGAGCTATATGACGTCACAACCAAAGAGATTGTGTTACAAAAAGACAGAGGCAAAAGGAAAATGAAAAAAAACTGCAATAAACAGAAATTTCAATATTTTTATTTGAATATGGAATTTATTTCACTCGTAGAGTTGTTTTTTTTTAATATTACACTCGTGCTTTGCATTCTCGAAAATATCAAAAAATCTTGTCCCACCCGTGAAATAAAATTCCATATTCAACTACAAACATTTAATATCCTCTACGTAGTATTATTAAAATAAACAATGATTATCATTCAATAAAAATTATATTATTTAAATGAACTTTAAATAATTGAACCCTGGGTTGAGATATGCTGC